AACCTTTTCTTTTTTACATCCCATTTTAATTTTCACCCATACCAACCAAACTGTGAAAAGTTATTATCTCCCTCATAACTGATTATATGCCATTCAATGTCACAGCACACCCAAGCTAGGTAGCTCAGCTCATATGTATATGTGTATGTCTATGTGTATGTACATGTATTAAAGAGATTCACATCCACAGATATGTGCCTGCATGTTTTTCCTAGAGATGTTTTCGTTGTCTAAGTTCATGCCTCAGTTGTTTTAAATATCCAAAACTAAGAACCAGAGATAAACATCAAGGAAAAAAATCTCAACGTGTTTCTTTTTATTACAGCAATAAAAGAGAAATTAACTTCTTTCATCTGGACCTTTAGTAATCTATACCACAACCTGAGTCTTACATCAAATGATGATGCTGAGTCTCCCCACTTTGCTGTTTCATACATATATACCACTCATCATATTTGACACAAACAGCAGCTCTAAGAGATCCTAAATGAAATAAAATAAACCCCATCCATCACTGTATATTTGATCTATACCCATTAAGTACTTATACAATCAAATCTTTTCTTATAGTGTTGTGGAAAGTCACCAGAACTTGAAATATCATGACAAAAACTAGAATTTTTCCATCGTAAATGCTAGAGAAAAATAAAAGATTAGTTACGGTGTGGTATGTCTGAAAACATGGAAAATCATGATAATAAAAAAAACAACGCTGCAGTCCTGGCTCTGCATGAAGCAATTTGAACAATCAGTTAATGGGCCTAATAAGCAAACTAAGGTCTGTGCTGTGGGTTAGAATTCTCGTCAGGAATCCAAATCTGAGCCGAAAAAATGCTTAGCATCAGAGGCTCAGCTGTATTCATTGTTTTCTGGTAAAACCAAAATAGCATCACGATCTCTGCCTGCATCTTGGCAATCCTCAAACACCAGAAACATGCATTTTCTAACAGGACCTTACGACTTCTCAGAACAGCTTTCCTTTATTTAGACAACTATTTCCCTGTTTTTTTCTAGGACCATAAAGGGTGTTAAAGACCTCGAGCCCAGGGTGCACAGTGCAATGGAGCTGGGTCCAGCTAGGTTAGAAATGTGTGGGAAACTTTGCAATTCCCTGTGCTACTCTTTCAGAGGAAATGCCCTAACAGGCTTCCAGACAGGATCCTAAAAAAAGCCAAGTTCATGGATACATAATTCCCTGTTTGCTTGTCTGTCGTTTTTATTTTATCAATATAGCTCTCCTGAAGGCCAGCTTTCTTCAAATTGAAAAATCTGGAAGCCTCAGGTGGACCTGAACAGTTGGTCTTCCTCATATCTTTTTAGTCTCATGGTCTACTAAGAGAAAGCTTACTAAAGCCAGCTTTGGTCACTGATGCAGAATGCAGGCTCCATTCTGGTACGTTCTTAAGATGGCAATCAGTTCTTTCATTTCTTAGATGGCAAACACAGGAATACTGAAAAGAAAGTTCTAACAATGGCCAGGTTATCTTGAGCTGAATGTTATATGTAGTGTTATAAAAACAGTCTTAGCAATTCTTTGGTGATTTTTTTATAATATAAAACAAATTAAAGCTATGGAAATAAAAAACAGAGTCTAGTAAAGAGAGGAAAATACCTAATCCTAGCTAAACCTCAGTCTTTGACCTGTAACTAATTCCATAGTGCTGGAGCTGTTCACTCAAATGCTGCTAAGAGGTGTCAGTGTAAATCTCCCAGAAGCTCACTTGAATATGTTTGCTAAGGTCTGGCTGACACAGCTCTGATGGGACACCCAGGGCAAGAGATGAGTATGGTCTTTGCGCAGTACTGAAGAAAGGGAAATGCACAGCAAAAGGTGAAACATTAATTTGAAAAAGTGGGAGAAGCACTTGTTTCTGAATTGGATGTACAGAACTCAGAGGAGCTAAGCCATGTGGAAGACAGCTCTGAGAACTTCTGAACAGGCCAGCTTTCACTCTCTGAAACCTAGTCAGAATGAGACTGAAAGACAGAGAGACAGAAATTTGCCTTTTAATGCTTATTTAGCCAGAAATCACTGCATACAATAACAACATAAATCTAGTGCAAGTCCCATGCCACTTCTTGCATTTTACCCTGACTCTATCCATGGTGTGGCTGGAATAAGCTAGCTTTACTTTAAAAAGAAAACAAACAAAAACCAAAAACCACAGCCCACGAAAGAATGTGTTTAAAAGTCTACTGCATAAGAAGCAGCATGCTAGACCACAGACTGAAAGCATTCAGTTTGAACCAGGACAGAAAACCTTAGGAGGTACCTCCAGCACAACATTTTAGACATCATGTTAACAGGACCGAAATTTCCACCAGGCTTATTGGTGCTCTGTGCCATCATAGTAAGAGAAAGAAGTTTTAGCAAAGCAGACCTGCTGCTGGTCAGGACAGGCATCTTAAAGTATGCTGGAGTAGGTACAGACCTTCAGCCTTTCTTGGTTAGTAGCTGTTATCAACTTCTTTACTTACTTATTCAGTAACAGGCACATCAGGCTGGGCTTTGCTCTCCATGAAAACTATTTTAACACAAAGCAGATTTGGATCCTTATTTGTTTTGAAGCACAGGCAAAAAAAGCAATACATTTAGTCTGCAAAAAGAATGCCAAGTGGATGAAAAAGGCCTGCAAGTTTTCCTTTTGGTTGCCCTTAGCATTTGTCAACTTTTCCCAGCTCGAAACCCAATGTCTGTTCCCAATTAGCCTGGCATAGATCAGACCAACTCCATTGACTTCAGACAACTTTTCTGGATATAGAGCATTGTGAGACAGAACAGAATTTAGCCAATATTGTCTTTTTTTATTGTTTTACCAGCACCACAAATTTCTCTCTTTTTGGAAGACTTATCAGTTGACACAAAGCAGATGACTATGGACAACCTGTTTGATGTGGTAAACAAAAGCAAAGCCATTGCCAAAACAGCTGATGAGCTAGAAAGAAAAGAAACATGAACATTGCGGGAAGGAGAATGATGGGAAAGAACTTGAATCTTCTCCTGATTTTGGTACAGAAGTCCAAAAATAACCTAGAATATTTCCCAAAATAAAATTTAGTACAGTGTGAGAGTGTGACTTCAATCTCTAACCGTGTCCATCAGAACAAATTCCACTGGATCTAATCCACTGTAAAACCAGACATAAGACATCTGCAGCCACACACAAAGTTAGAGTTTTCAGCAGGAACAACACGCTAAGATTATCATTAGTACTGTTACAATTCCTACTGGGAAAGAAAATGTAGTGAAGGAATGAAGACTGAAATCCATTTTGTAATTATTTTTTAGGAAATACAGCACTTAAAAGTAAAAACTTACTGCCAATTTCTTTTTATTTTCTTAAGAGGAACCACGGTTATGAACCAGAAGGTCGTTAGCAGGAGATAGTTCTTTCATGGCTGAACAGAAGTCACTTTCAATTAACAGAGGAAATAAGTAATTTTTATTCATTTGTATAGATTCCTCTCTACAATATTAACAATGGAAGTAATAGGATCATAATGAGCATTTCTTTTTGACAAAATCAGGTGATGCCTGCATCATATTCTAACACAGGACTTTAAAATTTAAATACAGATTGCTACAAGATAGATCTATGTAAGTCCTTGAAACCAATAAATACCTTGCATTGAAAACCATATGCTCAAATTTGAAAATTTGACTCCAGAAAAACCTCTTTCCATGTGAGCCTAATTCACATTCTATAAATATGTAAAAACCTTAAAGGACACATTCAACTTCACTATTTTTTTCTGCCTAAACATTAATGAATAGAAGCCATAAGGCTTTTTCTTTTAGCCTTTTTTTTTCTTTTTTTTTTTTTTTTTCCCTCAATTTAACTATCAGGTATAGAGATACTGTTACACACATCTGGACTATTTCACTGAAAGTTGAGACTTACTGGAATAAGATAAAGCAGGAAGGCTGTTTTTCCTCTTCCTACCACAACTACAGATTTGGGTAGATAATGAATCTAAAAATGTGAAGGACAGAATCTGCTTATCTGAAAAGCTTGTTTACCAGAAACACTTTACCAGAAAAATGAGAATTATAGAAGATCCAACTGTTGACTAACTTCTTTTTATGGTAACCTAAACAATTTCACTGAGCATAGAACTTACATCCCCACGTCCTGAATATACTGTGTAGTCTGTAATGTGCCATGGGAAAAAAAAAAAAAAATCTGATTTTTCAGCTACAAATAATTCCCGGCCTTTACCTGCCAAGAGGACTGGAGAATGGGGTGGGGGCTGAGGCAGTATTTTTATTTTACTAATATGCAAAGTAAAGATCAGAATTACACACATTCATAATTTAATGCCTGTTTCCTTACAGAGCCAGGTGAGCAAGTTGGATATTCCAAATCGAATTTAAAAGAATTTAATTATTGTCCTACAGAAGAAAACTGCAACACAAAATTAAAATTCACTTCTTAGATAAAGATTTCTTTCTTGTATTTAAACTTAAATTATGCTTTAAAATATGTCACTGTAAAAGAGTGTGTGGAGCAGAATGGGATAATTTTTTTTATTAAAAAAGTAGCATGATTATTGGAATTATGTTATGTTGGTTAAAAAAATTATTTCAAAGAGCTTCTGAAACTAACCTGTTGTGGTTTCATTACCTGTATTCTACTCCCACTAAAAATTAGCTCAAACACAAATTTATCAGAAGCTACTGAAGACTACAAAATAAAGTTAGCAAACATACTATAATAGTGAAAAAACATATTGGTAGAAGTTGTTGTCCTGGATGGTTTCTATCTGTTTAATTAACAGTACGGGAATGAACAATTTCTGCAGAGTAGAAGCATCTCCTCATTTCCAATCCAAATTCATCAGTTTAAGAAAAAAAAATTATATAAATCAAATAACCATAAATATGTGCTTCACATTCATGGCTACAGATTCCCAGTCATACTGTTCAATCCTGAAGCAGTGCCCAAGGTCATGCACAAGGCATCCAATGCAGAGCAGCTGAAGCTCCCAGTTGTACTCACACTGGAGATGCTTTAAACTCGTCCTCAAATGCACTGTCATCCTTGTTATCAGCCTGTAAGACCGTGGGGCTCTCAGCTGTCAGCCCACTAAAAACCAGGCCACAGAAGGTGATGGAAAACATGCATTAATGTGTTGTCAAATGCCAAAAGAAAAAAAAAAAGAAAAGAAAATAGAGTGTTATGCATATGGTATACAACTACTGTTTCTGGAGTTATCTGAGAGTATAACTGGATTTCTCCAGTTATCTGGAGTTTTACATTTTCATATTGCCAGAACCCACTAAACTTTAGTCAAACTAGCTCTCTTTGCAAGAAGGACTGCTTTACATGCAACATAGGACTTTAAGGCTCTAAGTTTACATCCCCTGCTAAACAAGAGAAACCTTCAATGAAGTTATAATTAATACAAGATATGCTCTTCTACAGACCACGCTTTAGTTTTTCAAACTGCTTCTTCAGCAGTGAGAGGACAATGTCCAGCTTTGGCTGTCTGCAACTTTTATGTATTACCACCTGAGCTAGTCAGCCAGATTCCCTTTACAAACTGCCAGTCTCAGAGCTTGATTCATCTTCGTCAAAATTTCAGGCATGTAGAACACATTAGATAACTGAAGGCCCACCAGTGCTTGCTGCACTCCACTGACATCAAAGGAGAAGAGCTGATCAGACATGTAACTGTGGCGAATTACTTCCAGCCCCCTTGTGCAGCAGTCAGACATGCTGAGGATCTGGAGTTCCTTTTTTACCTAAGCACACACAACCTAAGCCAACCATCGTAGGATTGGCAAAGACACCATCTTCCACTGACTCCACTGTTGCAGACTGCTGCTCAGCTAGCCATTACTGCCTCTCTTTTGCTAATTATAAAACATTAGATAAATTCACTACTCTGCTGTAGCCTCAAAGGCAAATATTTATGCTGGAATGAAGAGGAGGAAAAAAAATAAGAATGAACTGTAACATACACAGGACAAATAGTTCTGAATTAATGTTACCATGCACTTGTTACAATCTTCTGTTGTGTGGACAAAGTGAATATAAAATCTGTCAATGGATGAAATTAGGCTGAGTTAGTCCTCATACCAAATGCTCTATGTTGTGTGGTTTCGGTCCACTAACTGAGGATGGATGGAGGCAAAGAACTTAGCTATGGAGGTAAGTCACCTACAAATTAATTTCTTTTTTGTGCTGGTGTTTTAACTCTGAATATACTTTTGCTTTTATAATTTTTATTTCAATAAAAAGAGGAAGATAAACAAAAGCCTATCATAATAATAAAGTGCAATGAGCAGAAAGTGATGAAAGAAGAAAGGAGTATCCCTCAGCTCCTGCCCTTACCTCTCACTGAGCTCTTCCACGCGCTGCCCATGGCTCAGCACAAAGCTGGACTGCCCGCAGGGGCTGGCGGGGGCTGATAAAGTGCTCTTGACGTTCTGTGCCGAGTGCCTGCGGCTCCGCCGGCGCTCCAGCCCCCTGCGCTCACCAGCACCAAGGCTGGCCCTCCTCCGATCCTTGCGCCCGCTGGGAGGGGGCTCAGCACTCTCATCTCCATCTTCATGCCTCAGGGTCACCTGAGAAACAAAGGAAGAAGGCCGACACGGCCGCTTCAGCTACCACAGGTCTTCACACCTAGGCTTAAAGATTTCCTGGTCTCAACATGATTAACTCCAGTTAGTATCACTGTTTCTACAGATATCCCTGAAAGTCACTGTCTATCCATTAGCACAGTTTGGCAGCTCTAACAATGGAATTACACACTGATGCCTCACATACAACACTATAGCACCTGTAACAACATATTTATGTATCTCCTAATCTGTTTGTTTTCTTTTTAACGTGGGATCGAATTTTCAAGGAAGCCGAGCGTCTTGGACAACTCCTTCTGTTTATATCCTTACAAAATACATAGGTGAAGATTTGGTTTTAGTGACGTTAACAGGAGAAAACTCCATGCATTGACTGATTCAACATTTCCTCATGTTCAGACATGACACTTGTGGTGATTAAGTGGAAGGTACAATTTAGAGTGTGCTGGAAATAGCAGAGGACTAAAGCATGGTTGCAACGCCAAGTATTTCAAACTGCTGATGTGCTAATGTGAACTACCTGTTATCTTATGGTACATGAGGACAGAGATCCCTGGCAGAAACAACATAGTATCTAGTGGCTCTCATCTGAAATGCAGTCTAACATCTAAATAATCATTGTATGAGAGAGATCCACTCAAATAGGCAGAGGTACAGAAATGGTGAAGTGTGCCATCAGAAGAATGCCTATCTTCTTATTTCGATTATTCTTCTTACTCTGGTAATTCTTACCAGAAGTTTTAAAAAAAAATTAAGTGAGAAGTGAGATATCTCTGCTTGGGGTGTAAAATCTGTTTCTGTGAGGAAAAACAGATTTTTCAGGTAAAAAAACAGGATTGGCAGATAAAAGGAAGAACCTGCATAGACATATTTAAATTTAATTTGGTCATCAAGAAAAAGCTGGCAGCCAGCTAAGGCAACTGCCAATTCTGCAATTAAGTCTTTCAGTAGGTGCAGCATGCACAAAAGACCAATCCATCCTCTTAAGATTAATCACTATATTTTTAAAATGGCATTATACGATGACGCTTCTGATGATAGAAAAAGAAATAACATTATTGAGCCCTCTCATTCTCTTGTTTTTCCTAAAAATTGCTGAATATAAAGCTTAACTCTGCTAGTAAGTGAAGTGGCATGGGAATAGAATTGATGGAGAAAATGGAGAATCAAATCTATCAAATCCTTCCCTGGACTTAGGCAGAGATGAAGTAATTTAATTTTGTCATATGAGAACACTAATTTACATTTACATTACAACTTCAGCCCAAACCTCCTAGCTCCAACACTTCCCAAAATCTGAAAGAAGACTAATTATTAAGAAAGTGGATTTCCTACCCCTACATATAACTGCTTCAGAAGTAGATTATTTTATATCTGGGTGGTAAATGTGGAGTCACTCATTACTCCATTGCTGCAAACTGCACAGGATCTGGTCCAGTGTAAACTCTTAAACATGGACTTACTGGATACCAATCTCCAGAACAAGTGGTACTTGTGAAGTTGAGCTCAGCTGCACTTTTTGACGAGCTGAATACTTTTGCACATGGGAAGAACTTCTACTTGCTTTACCATGTGTAACTAGCAGTTGCAGAAAGGAGGCTAGTAAATGTGCTGGTTTGCCTTGGACCATGCCCCAGCTTTAATACAAAACGCCTTTGCATTAAAGGCAGCCATGTGCCATAGCAGGTCACATATGCAAATGTGTACAATACTCACAGCAACCAGATGTTTTTCTTTTAAAATAGGAGAGATAACCAAATTTCACCTAGGTTATATTCCCCCCCCCTTCTCAGCTTTGAAGTTTGCACAAGCTGTAAGATGCATAAAACAGGGCATGTTATGTTACCTCATAAATGTTAAATTGCTCAACTAAGTCCAAGTCTGTTCCTTTCTTGTTCAAGTGTCTCTGTGAAATAGCTTCAATGCCTAGCTCTTCCAGACAGTCCACCACATCGTAGAAAGAGTCTTGATCTGGCAATCCTGACAGCGTCTAAGAATCAAAAGAAAAACATTTAAATCTGTTTGTTTTGAAAAAATTAAACAAAGGATTTTAAAAGCGGGTGGCAAGTGGTGCTATGTATGATTTCAATAAAGTAAACCCCATGATGTGGGATTAGAGACACCGATAGAAAATAAAAAACAAGTGGCACAGCTTTTAAAAAACAACTCTCTGCACTTTGTAGAAAAATGAATAATTGGCAAAACAAATCAATGTTGTTATTTTATAAAAAAAGTATGGAAAATGTAGGTCTTCAAAATACACAGCTGGATTCTTTCTGGCTGCATTCAAGGGCAGACTTAAAGAACAGAGAATGTTAAGCCATCAAACACAGGAATAAAAGCAAAGAGGGAGAAAAAAACCCCCTAAACGCTTAGCTAAAAAGAGTAAAACTCAGTTCCTACTGATTCCATTTAATTTAGCCTCTAAGAAGAAAAAGTCCAATGCACAGCTGTGTGATGTCAGGATAGCAGGAAACATCCTGCACCATGTGCTTACTGTCCTCCACACCTGCAACAACAGTCATCTTCCCTGAGCACAAATTGCTTTGTATTACAGAGATAGTGACTCCTCAGCTCCCTTTCAAATTAAAAAGTCTTATTAAAGGTACACTGGCTCCTTAAATCCTATTCTAGGTTCCTACTGATTCCTAGTCAATTCATGCTGATTTTTACTGATCCTTATGCATGATGCAGAAGGACTAGTTTAATCCTGCACAGGTTGAGCAGAAACTACTGAACACACTGTGCCGCCTACCTGCAGGGGAAGGACATCCCTCACCACAGGCACCAGTCTATGCAGAGCTGTTGCTACAAAATATCTGAGAGCACAGGTTGGAAGCAACGCAGTTTTTCTGTATTAGCTCACCAGAGGGAAGTTTACTCTGAAGTAGTTTTCTCTCTCCCATTCAATTAGCTAAGTAATTTATCTATATTCCCAGCAGAGGAGAGAAAGAGCAAGGGAAATAGATGCAGCACTCAGGTCCTCTCCAAGGACAGCTACATCTTCTCATGCCTGGGATGAACTGTGCTCTGTAAATACTGTTTTTTTTGGAGCCCACCTTTTCCAAGGTGGCTCTGAGCAGCGGAGTGCAGAAAACAGGAGCCCCTCTGGGCTACCTCCCTGCACCAAGAAGTTTTACATTCAGAAAAATGGGTCTGGATTACATGACTAATGAGAGAGAAATGGGCAGCTGATATAGCTGTCTTGTTAAAGCATCTCTTTCCTGTGATGTAAGCCACTGAAATATGTGCACCAACAACGTACATTTTAATCTTATTTTTTTTCTAATTATACACACCACAGCGACATTTTCTTCTTCAGTCATTACAGGATTATTAACTGGTGAAATCCACCACAACAGGAATTCTTAGCACAAAGATCAAAGATCAATTAAGTGTTAAGGTTATATGTTCAGGCTTTAATTAAGAATTTGTCTCTTTCCAGGACAACATTAAAGCCTCTGTTTAGAACCCACTGAAGACTATGAATCTAAAACTTTAACAGTGCTGAAAACAGGTACCACACTTATTTTGTTCCTTCCTAAACTGACACCTAGCATTGAGTAAAAATCTGAGGATTTGGAAAATTAAGTTCTCACACTAAGCATTCAGTGGAACTTTAACTTGGATATGGAAATATTATCATAGAAAAGTGTTCAACTATGAGGCTTTCACTTGCGAATGCAAGACATGGACAGAAACTATTCTGACCCAAATACCTTCATGCATTTGGATGAAGGATGAGATGTTTTATCTCCAAAATGGTGGAGGAACAGTCAGATCTTCTGAGCATTTACTTCCTAAAATAACAGGATATTATCTTAATGTTGATATGCAGATCAGCCACCTTAAAGTATAGCTTTTTTAAAATTCAAGGTAAGGCAAGCTGTAGACTGGAAAAGCAGCAGCATAAGGTAGTATTTACTGGCAACTGCTGCTGTCAGCAGCCTTTTATTGATTATTATAATTTTAAATCACACAGCAGTGTAAATCCAATTTCCACTGCATGTTGTTGACCAGAACTGGACAACTGAACTCTCAAGTATAGAAATAAAATATTTTTTCTTTGCACAGTTTGTCGTTACACTCACAGATCCACTTTAAGAGGCTAAAGCATATCAAATTCAATTTCTAACGACTCCAAGAAAAATAACAAAGGTTATACTGGAACTGTGCATAACCAGAAGTATCTGCACTGGGATCATTCTCATCTAAGAAATTCATTAATGCCTAAATCCTCACAAATTAAGAGAGGGTTAATAAAATATTGGCATAACTAAGTTGATTAAGCATCAACAAAAAAGAGGGAGAGGATAAAAGAACTGGAGTAATTCTTATGTTTGGGCAGATATGTTTCGGCTCTGGAGCAGGAAGTAAATGGATACGTGTCTGTAAATGGATACATGGAGAAAGAAAAAAGAGTACAAGCATGCTTCCTCTTAAGACAAATCCTTCATGAGGACTCTGCCTGCACTGAAAACTTTCACATTTCCTTGTCTAGAGAAGTTGAAACCATCTGAGTCTTCTTTGTATTCTCTGTGGGGTAAAAAATTACAAGTGTTACATGCTGCTTGCTGTTTTCTCTATAATCATGAAAAATATCCCATTAAAAACATCATAAAGCTGCCCATAAGCCAGATCATAATTGTAAGTGTGGATTTGTGGGATTCCTCTCTTCCTTGATCTTCATAACTGCCTTGCTCCTTTGACTGTGACATGCTTTTTCTTTTTGTATGTTTTTAAAGAACCACCTCCTCCTAAAAATAGCTTTAAATGTACTGAAAAACTCAGACTAAAGGAATCAACTACAGGATAATAAAAGCATTAGCAGGGAAAACCCTTGAGGAAGTTAAATGCCAGGTAGGTTAAAAGTCTACAAATGATGAAAAGAACTATCTCAGAACAAGGAATCAGTACACAAAACAAGATGTAAAGCAGAGACATTAATGACTAGTCACCTTGGCTTTAACAGCAGCTACAGACAGAAGAATATATAACTGGAGATGCTTTTCAGAAAGAGTACAGCAGTAAGGTAAGGTGGTCTTTTAAACTCAAGAGGAACTTTACTACTGTGGAATCAGAAGCAAGAGTGACTAGAAGATAAGTACAGTAAGATCAGTAATCTTACAGTAATCAGGAGAGATTAGTCTCTCTCAGACATATTTGCTGGAAAATATCAATCATTAAGAAATCATTTTATAAAAAGAAACAAACTAACAAAAACCCAACAAAAAAGCAACTCACAATTCCAATCATGTAGCCAAGAGCCCAATAAGCTGGCAGCTTGGTGCATAACCCCCATGAACAAACTCAGTACCTTCAAGTGAATACAGTGAGTAATAATAATATTTCCTAATACTCTGCCCTATTAAGTATAACCATAAACCACATAATCATTTTGTCTGCCAAGAGTATGCCGGCTTTCTCTGCTCTTTAAAAAAATTATTCTTTAATTTTAGTACCCCCTCCCCTTACAATTTGTCTATGACTAGATGCTGATTTTTAAGGAATTTACACTCATAAATTTCTAACTTTCAAGAACTTTCCATTTTCTCCCTCCCAATAGCATAAGCCAATATTTCAGAAAATATTTGACTTTACTGGAAAACTGTGACGTGTAAATCTGGTCATCAAAAAATATAAGAAAATTTTAAAAAAAATGTAACCTTACTTTTTTTAAGCAAAAGCACTTTTACTAGCACTCAGATCTGTTAAATTCATCACATTTATATCACAGAAAAAAAATTCAACTATATGAACTAGAAAATTGTGCACAACACAAGCCTTTGTGAGCATGTGCTCTTTTCACCAGCACTTGCTTTTCTTCTCCCCTCGGTTAGTTGATCTGTTGAGTTACTTGGTCGTGTTTTCCTTTAGCACTGCATTGTCAGCACTTGGAGAGGAGCCATGTCAGACCACAATTCCACACAACATCCACCAAAATAACACCTCTGCTCCCAGCTGCTGCAGCACAAGTAACTGTGTTGATTGATTACAGCTTGTCCTGCAACTTCTTTGTGACAGGTCTCTTCCATCATATAATCTCAACAGGGAAGTTCATGATACAGTTGAAAACACTAATATTATCTGCACCAGTCTTGCTAACAAAGTAAACAAACCTTGTTAACCAAGGTCATCGTATAAACCAGTAGTTCCGTATCAACCCCATCCTTCTCCTCCAGTATCTCCATGATGTTGGACCATGGCTTGGCTCCTAGAGGAAAAGCAGAAACTATTGGTTACAGTGATCAAAATGGAAAGCTACATAAAAAGCTTCTAATTATCCAAGAAGTAGCACAAATTGGAATATGTGCCCAGGTGACAGCTTAAGCAGAAAGATCCAGCTTTGCCTACAGTCTCCCCTACTCCCCTGAAAACTAAATTAATTTAGACAGTGAAAACTACATTCCAGCCTATTGCAAGGTTATAAAATATGGCAAGTGGACTCTCTACAAAGGTACCAGCTTCTCTCCCTTGAAGATGAAGGAAGCTTTGTTAGCACAGTGTGTCTGACCAAAATTCTAAATATCAGGTGACAGGAATTTTACCCAGCCTATCATAGGTTCATATAGGATTTGATAAATCTTCAGCAGAGACCTACATGCCGTGCTTTCAGTGCGCCTGCTGCCCCTATTTCTAGTGCTATTGCCGAGTTGTGCTGCATTAAGGTAAGGCAGGTTAACAAAATATTGTGGCAGAGAAACAGTTTTCTCAAATTACTGTATGTCTTGGCGAAAAGAAATGATCAATGAGGGAAAAGATTTTTGCTGTGGCTCTTCCTCAAAATACTTTAATAGGAAACCTACCTACAGAAATTTCAGATATCATTTTCCACTAAGAAAGGTCAGAATTTGTGCTTTTAGTTATTTGCTTGATTTGCATGTTGATTTGAATTTGCATATTTCTCTGATGTCTGAACCCTAAATGTTTAGTGAGCTGCTGTGCTAAAAACATCAGGCAAGCAACTCACCACCCACACTCAGCCTCCTTGTGGGGAAGGTAACTTGTAAAACCATCCTATCTCACTTGACTGAATGGCAAGATGGCTGTATGTATCAAATTTTATCTAGGAAAACGGAAATAAATAACAAAAGACTGCAATTCAGTGTTTTGTTTGGAGTAGAGTTAAAGGTGAGGAGGACTAAGCAGAGAGCTAACCTTAGCCTAGAGATACACTCAATTCAACTACACAACGTAACTGTGACAGTCTTTCAGTTTCAGAGGGAAACATGCAGAGTATTCCAACAGTCCACATCCCCTGAACACTATACAGATGATGAGAGTTTGAGTACAATCAGGTAGCAAAATGCAAATGTGCCATCACAGCCACCTCTTGCTGACTGGTTGGTCACCCCAAGTCTAAAATCTGTATTAGCCTGTAACAACCCTTGCTTATAAAGATGATATCATATATGCACCCTGCTACACAGACATAAAATATCTGCTAACTAAGGATCTGCATTTCCAAAGCAATGGCAGTGCACTGCATGGAAAAACCTGTCTAAATGTGAATGTGCAGACAGCAATATTCCTCCTTTTTTTTCTCCCCCATCAGACAATCTCTGATCTTTGTTACTTGGTCAGGGCTTTTTTATCTTAAGCAAAGTCAAAGGAGGAAGGGGATTCACTCTCATCTCTCCAGATGTATCTATATGCATTCTCAATTAAATACTAATTCAAATACATGTCTGTAATGAAAATACACTAGACACCTCTTTACCAGATTCTCTATATTGCCAGACATTCTGTGCAGTATATGTTCAAAAGTCATGTGGAACAAATTCACTCAGCTTGCAAATGATATATGATCAGCAGGAATGATGTTCTCAGTACAAAAAATGTTTTCCTGTGGTTTTCAGTGAAAAAAATATGAAAAATGGAAGGAAATAGGAAAGAGAAACAAAATGGGGAAAGCATGAAAGTCTGTCTCACAATAATACCATTTGGAAAAACAGTGAGTTGATAACAACATAAAAACATAATTATTTAGTCCAGTGAATTTTTCAGTGAGAGTCCTTTGTTATTGCAGGTAGGTTCTACTCTTACTGGAACAATCCTGTTTTTTTTTTTTTTTTTAGGCAGCATCCATGTGGGTTTTTTCCCCCTGAATCTCAATAATTCTTCATTAGCATAAAATAATAATACTAATTTCATGGTCACTTTGCTGTTTTCATGCAAGTATTACATGCAATATTCTTCTAGCAATGCTGCTATTTTATTTCAGAATACAAATTTTAAAAATATTGTTGATTAGGCACACCTGCTAGTGAGGCAGCCCTGTAACAGCTCATCTATCTTTCAAAGGCTTTCTTTATGTTTTGTGTACTAAACTTCCAAAATCTAGGCTTAAATTCCAAATTCTTCATCTATTCCCTAACTACAGTCAAGAGGAGGCAATAACTTTGACAGAGCTACTCCTATTTGTACTGTGTTAAACCTTTCTTTCAAATGCTATTTCCCCCATTATTATCTCAATCTGGACAGCCAAAAAGTGAATGTGGAAATAGCTGTAAGGCCATCCATAGCTGTAAGGCCTTATTCCACCTGGGATAAGGCAGTTCTGCTGTGGAAGTTGTACCATGAGCTTACTGCTTTGCTGTCCTTGGGTTAATATTTTTGCATATATATAGTGAGAATCTATAGTTTCCAACCTATGATCCATGCAGCATGTGACATACATGCAGATCCAGCTCAGCTTCCCTTTTCAGAGCTCCCCCTACCAGAACCTGTCCAGTCCAGCATGCTTAAAGTGGAAAGAGACCTTTTCAGATTAAAATCATAATGAGGAAAATTGCATTTGAAAAGAATGGTTTCATCCTGTACATACTGGAGAAGCTCTGCCAAAGTCGTTGATAGTACTGCCTCCTCTTGATTCTAGTTAGGGAATAGGTGAATTTCCTCCTTCACCAGATCCTGATGTAGAAAAATGATGCTATAGAAGAATGATGATATAGCATCCTCGTGATTCTTCTGGGAGCAGATGGGTATGTTTCTATAAGGTTATGACTTTTATGCAAGACTTGCGGCAAAATCAGTGGGAGTGATGAAATAGGCTCAGTAAAGTGAAACACCAGAGACTGAGTTTTGTGTGTTTTCCTGCCTCCTAATGGGTAAAATGAGAACTGCTTTACTGCCCTTTAGGGCCTTGTCACTTGAAAGAGCTCTTTATCACAGCTATTCTGACAGGGAGGCTGCAGCCTCAACTCTGATGCTACTTGCAGTGTTACGAAAAACCATGCATGGTGTATAGACAAAGAACAATGAGGTTGCAACAATTAAGCTAACATTAAACTAATACAGTCTATTTTCTGAATAACATTGCCCATTGTTTTAAGTCCCAGTCTTTTCTCAGTTTCCTCTTTAGATATTTTTGCATATTTATTTGAATGCTATTTTTTATGTCATACACAAAACCTTCACAGCACAACTATAAAACATCTGCACAGTTTGTATAAAGCATGAAATATCTTACACAGGGGCAGAACCTTGCATGAGAACTGCTACCAGCTTAGAGTGTCTCCAGCAGCTGTAGGTTGGAAAGGCAGTAATACTTTTGGAAAGACCCTGACATCTTGTATTTCTGGCTATTTATATATGAATGAACTTAGATCTTTCCATTGTACCTACAGTACATGAGTTAATGTAGTGGAATCTAACTATGAATGAAATTGAAGGAAAAGCAAAGAACAGATAATGAGAGCCATTTGGCTTTAATCTTTATCCTATAATATGATTGTGATAAAGAAACCCTAGACAGCAAAGTGCAATGCCAGCACCACTTCCACTTTGTAATCTAGTATGCTTAAACTGAAAAGAGACCAAATTCCTCTGGAGTGCTGAAGCAAAAAGCATGGGAGAAGGGAGGAACTAAATGGAAGTGCAAGCAGAAGCTAGTTCCTACATGACAAGAGCCATGCAGTTATTTCTTTATGGTCTGCTTGTACCTTAGAGTAAAGCTGGTATTTCCATGGATCTCTGTACTCCAATTTGCATATGGATGTATTCACACATAGAAATCACAGATGGGATCACTTTGAAACCAGGCTGAATTAATATGGGGTTCTATAAGTTAATCATGTGTGGTTACACATGTTGAAGAATTATGTCATATCTCATCACCTTGTATGTACACGAAACATCAAACTTTTATCAAAGCAGTGCTGAACTTAATTACATACCTGCAAGATTTATGACAATGGCTCAAGAAAAGGCATTTTCTTTCTTTCTGTTTTTTTCTCTTTTTCTATTTTATCAGTCATTAAAGGCAGGTACTTCTCATTTATAGGCCACTAATTTAAAATTATAAATTAAAATATAGCATATCTACATCTAAAAGTGAAGGGCTTTGATATTGTATCCCACAACATTCTTCTGGAGAAACTGGCTGCTCATGGCTTGGGTGGGTGCACTGTTCACGGGGTAGAAAACTGACTGGATGGTTGGCCTAGAGAGTGGTAGTGTGTGGAGTTCAGTTCAGCTGGCAGACGATCACTCTTAGGGTTCCCCAGGGCTCAGTGCTGGGGTCACTCCTGTTTAATATCATTATCCATGACCTGGATGAGGGCACTGAGGGCAGCCTCAGCCAGTTTGCAAGTGACACCAAGTTAGATGGGAGTGTTGATCTGCTGAAGGGCAACAAATCTTTTCAGAGGGATCTGGACAGGGAGAACCAACGGTATGAGGCCAATTGTATGACGATCAACAAGGTCCTGGTACTTGGGTCACAACAGCCCTGTGCAGCACTGAGGGCAGAGCAGCTAGAAAGCAGCTGGAAGGCTGTCAGGAAAGGACCTGGGAGTGCTGGTCAACAGCAGCTGAACATGAGCCAGCATGTGCGCAGGGGGCCAAGAAAGCCAATGGCATCCTAGACTGTATCAAGAATAGTGCGGACAGCAGTGCCAGGGAAGTTATTTTCTCTGTACTTGGCACTAGTGAGGCCTCATCTTGAATCCTGTGTTTAGTTTTGAGCCCTTCACTGCAAGAAGGACACTGAGGTGCTGGAGCATGTCCAGAGAAAGGCAATGAAGATGGTGAAGGGTCTGGAGCACAAGCCTTATGAGGAGTGACTGCAGGAGCTTGGGTTCTTTAGCCTTGAGAAATGGAAGCTCAGGGGAACCTTAATTCTCTACAACTCCTGAAATAAGGCTGTAGCCAGGTGGGGGTTGTCCTCTTTTCCTGGTTAATAAGTGACAGGATGAGAGGAAATTACCCCAAGTTGCATCAAGAGAGGTTTAGGTTGGATATTAGGAAGAATTTTTTTCACCAAAAGGGTTATCAGGTTTTGGAACAAGCTGCCCAGGGAAGTGGTGGAGTCACCATCTCCAGAGGCATTTAAAAGCTATGCAGATGTAGCACTGAGGGACATGGTTTAGTGATGAACTTGGTAGCCCTATGTTAATGGCTTGACTCAATGGTCCTAAAAGTCTTTTCCAACCAAAATTACTCTGTTACTCTATTACATTGATGACCTAAAAAGAGAACTAAATATAAAACCAGAAAAAAAAAAAAGTCTCTTAAGGAGCTAAGTACAATTACTTAATGAAAATAATTTTAAAAAATAGGAAGAAGGAAAAACTGGGTATTTGGGCTAAGGTATTTGCAAAAGTTCATAAAATAATCTACTAAAGCACAGGTATGAGAATTCCTGTAAAACCTCTCATTATGCTCTTAACATACGCTCATCTAACTACAAGCATCAGTTTTTTCAAGTCTTGTGTTGTTACTTAAGATGTTTTATGACTTTAGGACATGTAAATGATTGTCTAAGACTGCTCTACAGATAGAGAAGGAAATACTTTGTTTCTCCTTTTTCTTTAATAATGACTTTACTACCATGTTGGTAGATACAGAGAATTTTTAACTCATTGAGAATACCACTGAGTTCAGAAAGCTGATGAAATATTAAGAATGACTGAAAAAAAGGAGTCATAGTGCTCACAGGTACATGAATATTATAATCATATTTATGCTTATGACATTATAAGGTTTACTGCTTTTAATTCAAAACACCAACCTGCAATCTGCTGTTTTGAATTGCCCCTGCCTGTTTCCCTGCTATAAGAGATAATTTGGGTTTTTTCTTTTCAACCCATTCTGATAACTGCAAGCAAAATCTGGCTCCTTTTTCCTATTTCTGGCACCACCTTTCTCCCCAACCCCCAGCATTTTCTTGTTTCACTTTTACCATATCAAGTCTCTCACACAAGTTGAGTATCGAGGCAGTTGCTCCACAGAGGGAAGCTTGCTTTCAACCTCCATGTTTGAGACCACAACAATGGATCTCCTAACCTCAAAAACTCTCCTTGAGGCAAAGGAATGTTTTGCATCAAGAGAGAATGCCCCAGGATCTTAGTGATGGCTTTGTGGGAAGAACAAGAAAGAACCATTTTTGTTCTATTTATTTGTAAGAAATACAGTATACATATTCAAGTATCTTTCATGAGCCTGAAGGGTAACAGATTTCATAGTATAATATCTGCTCAAGGGCTTTATTTTAATGTAACAACAGATGGTTTCACTTTTACTATAAAGCCTGTACTATTACTGACCTCGTCTTTCTCTTCAAAGGGATTACACTGATTAGATATCATTTTCTCTTCTAAATCAGAGTGCTGCTTCCCAGAAGGAAGTAGAAAGATGGTCTTGCCCAAAGGAGCCTCTGAGTCAGAAGGTAAGGGGCAGGAGAAGGAGGGGAGTTTACTTAGCATGTGGGTGCAGGGAAAGGGGCAATGACTGGAACCCAAGGAGGTAATCAAGTTCCTCAGTTTTACTCTTCACTTTCCCATTATAATTAATTATTCAAACAACCTTAGATTATAAAAATTCTTAAAAAATGCTTTTAAGAAATGAAGGGTATGTTGGACAAAGCAGGCACCAATAACAGCAACTCTAGAACCACTGAAAGCAGTGATGAAATGCTACCTTGATCTCAGCAGTGCTGGGATATTGCAACCCCCTGGTAAGGCTACTCACCTCTCTTTTCATCCACAGTCGATACTGCCTGGATCAAAAGCGGTGCATTGGACTCTGTGTACTCCACAAACACCAGCAGCAGCTTCAGTGCTGTCTTTACCACCAGGCGAAACTGGAAGAAAAGAGTGCGATTTGTCATTCTCCAAACCACAGCATTCCCAGATGTGGCAAATCACACTGGGCAAGAGGCAAGCCCAGCAGTCCACATTTGGTAGAAACACACAAACAAAAGAGATTAAGCTGTGACAGCACTGAAAAAATGGAAGGTAAACAGCTGGCTGAGAATTTCATTCACTGGACAGTGTTCTCATAGGGAATCCCCAGTAGTCAACGAATCCAAATGAAAGCTTAATACTGCCACAAATAACAAAAGGGTGAACATCCCACCCCTGCAATCCCAAACACTGCTGCCCAAAGCTTGATGTACACAGAACATACTGAGCTAACAAAGCATATATTTCTTTATTTCTCAACACATTTATTTCCTCCTTCTGCTTTGAGCCATTAATTCCATCATAATGCTGTATGATGGGATGATTTCCTCCTTATGCTTTCTTCTCTTCTTATAATGCTACTATTTAATCCCTAAATTATTAAATAGATTGATCTTCACTATTATACACAACTTGGGAGGAAGTGTGTTTAATTTCCAGCTATCCCACCCTGTCACAAAATGTGTGATTTACTGGGACTGAGCATTCTGACTGCAAGTTTTCAAGCTCAGGTTTTTGTACATCCTTAGGAGTGAGTGTTCATCAAAGACCCAGCATTGGTAAAATGGATCTACTAGAATTCAACAGCCAAACTCTATCTATTTCACCAAAGAGCTCCCATTTCCAGAAAGGATCATTCAACTAGAAGAGCTGAGTAAGATTTTTTAGGGATAATCAAGTCTGATTACTTGGCATGATCAGGTATGTGAAAAACCAACTCTGCCTGAGGAGAGGATTTTTTAATAGGCAGGGTTCTACATGCTGAGAGGGCTTTTACTGGGGGAGTTGATACTGTTTCAAATTTGCTATACTTTCAATCTAAATAATGGATCATTATATTGTTTCTATCAATATTGATGAATTCCCATTTCCAAATTTTTTTTCAAGTCCTCTTAAAACAACTCTCCTAAGAAGCAAAAACTCATTATTAATAATTTTATAGATGTACACATGGTTGCAAGACAGTGACTGTGTCTATATTCCAAAAAACACTGCAAGTGCAACAGGCATAGACTTGAGCTGCTGTGCTCATATAGCCACTCATGGAGACGTACTGGATCTCACTTGAAGGTAATGAGCTAAAATGCAGCTTGATGCTGCTAACACACAGTTCAGTGTCAACAGTGATCCCAGCTATTTCCCCAGTTTCTTGGGGCTTACCCACTCATGCAGAATTGACCTTAATGTCAGCAATGGCACTACTGGCAATGCAAAATATTCTGCTCTTGAAACTAGACTTTTTTCATGTTTTATGTGTTGTCAAATTGCTGAATTTTATGGCTGACAACCAGGAAATCCCAGTGACAAACCTGACTAGGTCCCTTAAGACCCTTGGATAGTCTTATTTGCAGTGGTACTGCTGCAGTGATACTTCATAGATACATGGGGTAGGTAAATTAAAGAAATTGAAACCTGATAACACAACAAATCACTTCCCCACAACTGCACTATACATCTGTCTATTTGCCTGTCAGGCCAATAGCAGGGTGTTGCTGGTCTGCAGTGGCACTTCTCTTAGGAATCAAGTACAATTGTATAATAAACATACTGAAAGAATTTCCAAAAAGTATCCACGTTTTTTGTAAAGTTACTTTGTAAATTGGAATTACATCAGATTACTATAAACTACTCAAGCATTAACATACTTCCCAGATAACCATTTACATACTACCTGTTACAGAATTTCTGAGAGACAGAGGTCATGATTTATGTTTGGAATGAGGTTTGAGCTACCCAGTCAGACCAGGCCTGATAAGCGGCCTTGATGAGACCTCGAAGCCTTTGATGCAGTGAGAATTCAGTTGTGGCGCAGTCAGAAATTATAAAGTAATCAGCTATCCGAGCATGAATTACAGTAGAGCTGCAGTGTGAAAAGTTTGACCACCTTAAGGAAAAGGTAAACAATGTTAGCTTGCCAATCAGAATGCCTTTGTAAACTGTAAACTATATGGAAGCTTATATAAACTACCATCTTCTCTCAAATAAATGGATAACGTTTGATTAACCACATTGGTTCAGATCTGTGTATGTCCTGTCCAGCTTCACGTTTTCTGAGATTCCCTGGCTTTTAGTGGTGCCCAAACAGGGGCTCAGGAGGCTCCGAAAAAGCTCCCAAATTACTTTTAGGGTAACATGGAGCTGAATTTGAGGTGCGCGATGAAAACTGAGGTCCAAATCACTTTATGGCGACGGGACTGGGATCCCAAATTCACTTTTTGTGAACGGGGATCAGGTGCACGGAGCAAAAGTCTCCAGACTCCAAATCGGGCCATTCCCGACAGGAGGAAAAAAGACGTTTCGCATAATTGTTTGTTTGCGAGAGTCCGCTGGAGCAGAGAAGACCCTGGCATTCACGAGGACCCCGAACGGCGGGAGTGGACGTGGCCGGGGCCATATCCTCTCTGAGAGAGGGAAAAAGATAAAAAGAGTCTGATCTTATGCAAGCAATTGACTCGGTGGGCAAGAGACAAAGAAAAGTTACAGAAAGCCCCTCCTCGTCCCTAGCGAAACGTGTTGGCAGAACGAAGGCAGCGGGCTGTGGCAGCGAGCACCGGCCAGTCGCCCAGGCGGACCGCAGAAGCGGCAGCACGAAGCGGCGGGCGCGGGGCCAGGCGGAGCGGGGCTGGCCGGCACCGAGCCGGAGGCGAGCTCGGGGCACGGCGGACACTGGCGGAGAGACAGAAGGCTCCTTGTTGCCGAGCAACAGCGCAAGGGGTGAGATGGGCATTCCCGGGGGCTCGGCCACGCTGGAGTCGGAGCGGGTGGGGCGTGGCCGTGGCGGGGGTGTCTCTTCTCCCATCCCCGAGCTGACGCAGCAAGGACGGGAGAGAGAACTGGTGCCCCCTCATCTCCCCGCAGCACCCAGCAATGGCAGCGGAGACGGCTGGACAGTCCTGATTGCTATGGCAGCAACAACGCCGAGAGCAGCAGTGCCACCGATGGAGGGACTGCAACGCTACAGCAAAAATTTCAACAGCGTTTTTCCAATTCCTTACAAGAGTCAGAAGACATAAGAAACAGTATAGCAATACCGAGTGTTTTCCAAGATACCAAGAAGGATGAACATTATGTGAATCAATGTTATTTCAAATACGATACAGATGAAAATCACTCTATAAAGATAGAAATGTTAGTAATGATTTAATTACCAAAAATGTCTGTGAAAACGAAGAGTTGAGGAATGTCAGTCAGATGGAATGTTGGTATTGAGTTTGTAATCTCTGTTTTTGGGTTTTTATATATAATACAAAGAATGATGATTTTTAAGTTTTATAGATTGTAAGATAAATAGTGATTGTTGTTAAGTTTTTGTAGGTAATGATAAGTAGTGATTGTTACTAATGTTATATGAGTGCTTTAAAAGGACTGTCTTAAACGATTTTAAACATTTCTTGTTAATAAGTTGATCATATAATGTGACTTGTCTGATTTTTGTGACAAGAATTATAATTAAGGTATTAAGGTATTGAGGTGTTGTTATAGTATTTACAGCCAGTTTTCATATGTGTTACTGTCTCTTTAGGTGATTGATTACAAGATGTGTTTTTTCAGGATCCTGTGTTTTTGATTTTTTAACTGCTCATGTCATTTCTTTGTCTAATCTTTTATGCAGCTGCAATTCGTCTTCCTTTAAAAATTCATTGTCCAAATTTTGGTTCAAGATTTCAGACTTCAAAGTTTCAGATTTCTGAAGAAAGGGTTTGTTGTATTTAGAGAGCTTTTGTCTTGAGGGGAATTTTGGACAGGTTCAATTATTTGATAGTTTGATAAAATTTTAATCATAGGTTTTTACTTATAACTGTTATTTCTAAGACTTTCATTTTATAATGTGCTAAAACATATCCTCCAATTAGAGTTTGAGCTCTGGCCAAGCTCTGGCTCTACGTGGATGGTGTGATTGACGCAGGTGTTTTTTGCATCAAAAAGTATTCAAATCCTTTTGGCTTGACAATTTGACCATATAGGGCAGCTGAGCCTCAAAGGGAGTTTTGGAGAGACATGATCTCGACATGTTTTATCCAGATCTTTGTTGTTTTAAGGTTTGTCAGCTGCTGCAGACTCTGGGATGACAATTTGATAGTGTAGCACTTGGTAACTGTGATTTTATATGTGATATTAATTGTGTATTATCTGATTGATTTTTATTTGTTGTTAGTTTCTTTACTATATGCATTGTTTTGTTCCTGATGGTTTTTCATGTTTATAAGAAAGATGTTGATATTTCCATTTCTTCATGCAAATTTTGGGGAACAGAATTGAGAGAGGACCCTCCAGTCCTGGTGGCAGGTGTTGGGTTTGTGTTTTAGCAGGTGCAGAATCTGGATGGATTTAAGTGAAGAATGTGGAACTTATCAATTGCAAGAGAGCACTGATCTCTCCACAAGTGGAAGCAGAAGATGCACAGAAAAATATAGATTGTGCAAAGATTTGTGTTTCACCCACAGAAGATCATGGACTTTGGGTTTTTTTTTTTTTTCATAAGTGTGTTTTTAATGATGTTATAGAATTTTTTACTAAGCTTTAGTGGGTTTTAGTAATGCCTGTGATTTTTCTGTTCATTTTGCCATTGTCTTTCAATGGCAAAAGAAAAAGAGGGAGTCCCAACGTGGATCAACAGCAATCCTGCTTGAGTGGGTGTTTTTACCCGTTCAACCAGGAAGTCGTGTAATGGGCAGGACAAATGCTCTTGCTGCATTGATACGAAAAGGCAGAGAAAGAATTTTAGAAATGGATGGAAAAGAACCAGCAGACATCAGTGTTCATGTGAAAAATGAAGATCTGGAATGGCAGCTTAGACACTCTACTGCATTGCAGGAAGCATTGTTAGGTTTCACAGGAGTGGTGCACAACAAACAACTAAAAGGCCTGATGTGGCATTTTGTCAGTCGTTACCAGTGGT